TACACAGCATGAAACGCTCGGACACCGACTTGGTAGAAGCATGCCTGTCTCAGTCTTAGAGAATCTCTAACATTCCTCACACACTTGCCCCTTGAGTATCAGGACTTCCCTTGGTGATCAACAGTGCTCAGTAACCTGTTTCTCCCTGGGTTCATTCTCCACTCTTGCTGTGAGATGGTCCTGGAGCAGTAAGCAGACAATATACCTGAATTTGCTCAGCCGACTTATGAAATACTCACATGTTACAATGAGAAACTGGAATTACACTTCTGGAATTAAGGGATCTTTTACCCAATCCACACATAGGGTAATGCAGAAAAAAATAGAGCAATAAAGAAAAAAAGTGACTCATTTGATTCTTTATCCTATTCTATTCCTCTTTTCTCACAGAAGATAGAAATGGGAAAGAAAAACAAAATTAAAAGATTTGGATAATATTTCTATGACTAATTTTCAACACTCTAGGACTGCCCCTCTCCACAATACTAAATGGGTATACTTGTTCCTTTTCCCTAAATTATCTCTCTTAAAAGAAATTTTTTCAAAAGTTACCACTTTTCATATTTCCTACTAGATTTCCATAACAGAATACTGTAAGCAGATACATATATTCCACTGTGTCCTTTTCCTTCTTATCAGTAAAAAGGAGAAATATACCAAATAAAATAGCAATGATAATGGGAAATGATGAATACTTTGTAGGGCAGAGAGCATTTTGGTATAATTAAGGACTTTTAAAATTATAAGATTAATTCATTCTCCATTGTAAACAAGTAGATACTAAGTAAGCTATGAAAATAACCCATTGCTACTTCTCACACTTCAAGTTAACAGGATTATCCAGTACCTACCAAGTATAAAGCACTGAATCAGCACGACAGGGAATTAAAGACGACAGGACTGACATGCCTCACATGGTCCCTGAACAGCCTTACAGAGATTACACCCATGATATCATATGCATTCACTCAGTAAACATCTATCATGGTACAACAGATACTGGGCTGAGATAGAGACAAGGACTGCAGATACTATCCTCCAAAAGCTCACTATCCAGAAATACACAAGGTGTTAAACTGAATATAATACCAAAACGCATGCTAGAGCTACTGGGTATTCAGGGTAGTTTGAAAGACAGACAGTGATTATTTTCAAAGCATCAAATAGTATTAGGAATGTTTAATATCATATAGATTAGATAAAACTTCCCAAATTATTATACTAATATTTTCATAGCTAAATCAGCTGAGACATGTGTTTTAATTTCTTGTTCAGCAGAAAATGAATACACATTAACAAAGATATGTTCTCCTCTGCTGAGAGGAGGGAAAAAATCTATTTGGACAGAAAAAGGATAAACTATTTAAGGATGTATTCATCTCTGCATGTATTACAGTGCCTGAAAGGACCTTCAATAAGCAAACTTAATTTGTAGAATTCGCAATGGAGGTCAGTTGAGGTGGTATATAGCATAACCCCACCGCCACCCACCCACCCCATCCAAAGGAAAAGAAATAAAAGGAGAAGCAGACATACAGACCAAAGTTACACAACAGTAAAATGGAAAGCTTTCATCAAAAAAGCTGAACTTGAGAAAAACTTTAGGGAACTAGATTTGGGGAAAATTTGCTTTTTATGTTCTGCGTTAAAAAGACCTGAATGATTAACTGGCTTTAGCCTCACTGGACTTCAGCAATATAACCTATACATGTAAACTGAATTTATATGTCTCTAAATGTACTCATCGGTAATATCTAGGTTCATCCTGTCTGACGAGGTTTTAACACCACTTAATCACTGTTGGCAACACAGTTTATGAACCAGTCCCCCAAATTCATTTCATAATCACTTTGAAAGGACTATCATTCCATTGTGTAGAAATATCCCATTACACACTGAAGCAGTACATTTAAATCACACAATAACTTTACCCCCCAAAGAGTTAACAAACTAGTTACCAAAAACTGATGTTTCAAATAACACCTGCCTACTAAAATAATGAATAATTTTCTATTATTTGGGCATTACTTGAAAAACTTGGTAATTTAGACAGGAGGCAATGGGTTTATTCATATATTCTATTTATCTAAAGAAATACTGAAACACAAGAGGATAATTATTGTAGAATCATTATCTCAGCCTCTTCAAACAACCTGCAATAGTTTTATGAAAATAATGCTTCAAATTACACCATAATCCTATCCAAAGACCATACCATAAATGTCAACTGAAAATGTGTATGGCATTACCTTGACTACAATGCTGGTGAATAGGTGAAGCCACACACAGGACTGAAACTGGCTTGAATTTTACTACATAATCATCCTTGTATTGTTACAAAAATACACTTGGGCAAGTAGTAGACTGACTCCAAGTACACAACACCTCATGGTTCTTGTTAGAAAGAGTAATGTATACACAGGCCAAGTCAAACCTCTAAATTTTATCCCCATGATACCTGAGAATATCCTGATTAAATTTTTTTAAAAAAAGAATGTCTAGATAACTAACACATCTTATTATAAGTGGTAAGTTTATCAATACAAATTTTTTCATGTGGCTATGTGATGGCATAGTTAAATAAATTTAAAATATCATCACTTATCTCATTTTCCAAATTAAATAACGGAAACCAGTGATATTAAAAGTATTCTTATGACAAATATCTAAGAAGATAAATAAACGTACCTCGTATTCACTGGAATCAATTAATAAAGCGCTACTTTGTAAGGTTCCATTTGAGACTAAAATAGAAGATTAAAATAAGGATTGACCAAAATGCAAAACTATACTAATAGATTACCTTTCAGAAGTTTTCAATTAATCTATGTATACCTGCTTTTACATATAAACATATATATTCAATATTAACTGTAACGCTATGAACAAACACACTTAACCCTACTGGTGAAGCATAGGGATTGTACCTCTACTCACAATCATGCTGACTGTTTAATCTGCAGCAAGTATTTAACCTGTTCGTCTATCAGTTATATTCTGCCAACTGAGATCATCAAAGCACCTCTCTTTTATTAAAGCTTTTTGGGGTGATACTGAACGAGATAAGGCACCTCAGTAACAAACGGAGCCTGGCGTGTACTGCATAGGGAGGCCCTCTGAGGGCACACAGTGAAGATTAGAACACTCCAGGTCAACAGGGTATATGGTGCCATCACTATTCTTGAATACTATTACATTTGGGCCTGTAACTTGTAAAACTTGCTCTTAATGAGAAAAAAAACCTAGGTTTTAAAATATCACATTCACCTCCAGAGCAAAGTTTCATGAGGAAAAAAAAAATCCCCTATTTGTAGTATACATGGATGGACATCTATGTAACTGGGAAGTGGATCAGGAATAGAAATGATTTTTAAAAATTCAGAATTTTAAGGAACCCAGGTAATGACTTATTTTTCAGTCCATTTGAAACTGTGGCCTGTTCCCTGCAAAAGAAAGCAGAACATGCGTAATAAAATTTTATAAGATTAGAATGACTGAGTCTGAAGACTAAGAGAGAACAGGTAAATAATCAAATTAACTTGCATTTTACAAAAGAGTTGAAAGTGTCTTATTTAAGGCCACAATGGTAGTTTGTGGAAGAGCCACAAATATGTTTATGTCACCAATTCTCTCTACTCTGTCCCAGGTGAGTATCTGACAAAGCCTGCAAGTAAGCAGGTTGATGGTAAATAGGCTCACAGCAAATGAAAGAAGTACAAGGACTGCGTCTCCAAAATATCCTGATATTCAGTATGATGAACACTTTTCTAGCATCAAGATGGTTTATTAATCTAGGGTGCAGGACGTACAATGGTGGAAGTGGGTAAAAACGACTTTGTACCCTCACCTACATAGAAATCCTCAGAGCTTACATAAAGATCCCCATTTTCAACACACTGACTTGACTCGGGTTCATATTATTAGTTACTGCTTTTAATATTGAAGGCTCAGAGGTTTTCACAGGCCTAAGCCTATTTGGTGTACTTTTGTAACAAGGAGAGATTTGGAGAGTAGGGGTGTTAAGTGAAAGACATAAAAGTGTGATTTTATTTTACCCTGGTTTAAGACTTCTACTGACAAGTATTCTAACAGGAGTCCATCAGTCTTTGTGAGGGTATGCACAACTCAAAATGCTTTGCTTTATTATCTTGGAGCAATGTACTTCTATGCTAAGAGTTTCACTCTACGCATTTTAAGATGGTACTCTATTTCCAATTTTTGGACTGGACAAGACATATCCCCATATTCCACAAACCTGCAGCATGACCAGGGAATTACCTTAATAACTATCCCAGCCAGAGGAAAACATTTATACTCTGCTGACCAATCTAAATATTGAAAAGTAAATTAACTCCTGTAAGAAGTGTAGTATTTAATAATTATAACTAGAAAGAAGAAATCCACATAATCTGTAAACCCTTAAAATTCTCTATTTTTTCAACTGAGAATTAATGCTATATCTGCACACTAATCTGGAGTTCTATTCTACCTTCAGGATAGACAAACATTTGTGTTCAACCAGCTATCTCTGCTGGAAAAGTGCCATAATAAGTATAATACACACCAAAAAACACCATGAAAACTCACGAACAGGATAAGAAGTAAAAAAAAAATGCATGAAAGACACAGAGGAATACCACATTAAAGTTATTTGACAATACTGCCCAATGGTGGACAGATATCACCATTTTGGATATAAAATCTTGTAAGCCAGGATTTTGTTATTTTGATGTCACATCATCAAAGTAGAGTTTTATGTGTTTCTGAGACCAATGGTTAAAAATGCAGTTCTGTATATTTAAGTTCATGTATTCTCTCATTAGGACTTAGAGGAAAAAAACTCTACACATTTATAAGATTTCAAATGTTTTCCATTTAATAATAGATTTATTTGTACTAGTCCTTTGTAGTCAATCTTCATATTCACATTTTTATTTCAACAACAATCATCTCAGACACACCTTCTAACAAAACTGACTTAAAATATTACGACAGGAAACTATGCCTTCAGGAGCATGTTTATTGTGTTTGAGATGATACATCAGGTGCTCTCTGAGCTACAAAGGGTAAAAGGAAATCCTCTCGTTACAAACTGACAAAGGTAAAAGGTAAAACATTTTTCACAACAGCATGAACCACATACTCAGAAATAGATCTGGGTTTAATACAAATGACATAATTCCTAATCATCTACAGCTACTTTTATAACTTCATACAGATAATGAATTAGGCTAAAATGCACTATAATATTTGGTAGACTTCAGGACCAGTATCCTTAGTACATCACAAAATACATTTTGATATCCCAAAGAAGCAAGACTTGCAAGTAGGCGTTTTAAACAGAACTAATCTACAGCTACAAAGTTCTACTCTTGATAGCATTTACCTTTTTGGGGAGTCTCCCAGTCTCCAAAGGATAAAAGCAGAGAGTAGAATCAGTATAACATATACACAGAAGTCCGTATTGTAAAGGCTATAAAGATTTGCAGCACAGTGGGAAGATGCCTCCTGCTCCTTCACACTGCGTACAAATTATGTCAATTATGTTGCGTATCGCTTGGTCCACTGTCTGGCTATCCTGTCATGTTCTGCTCTGTTGGTCAAATACTGAGTGGCTATGCTTCCAACCAGAGGGTCCGCTGGAAAAGTGGAAAGAACATTAGAAGATATTATAGTGTCTTGTTATTATATCTAGTTTATATATTATATAATATATTGTATTTACATATTATATATTATATTATATATATTATATATACACTTATATATTAGAAGATATTATAGTGTCTTAACTGTTCAGTTCTAGCAGTCTGGAACTGAAATGATTTTTCAGCAGCATCTTGATATATAACGGCTAATTTCTCAAGAAAAATGCTTAAAGTAACATAATCATCTTTATATTTTAATATTCAAATTAGAAAAGCCTCTTTAAAAATAGAGTTAATAAAGCTTTTAAAGTGTGTGATTTTTTAAGATGTGTATATCTTTAATATATAAAAACTATTTTTCACCCTTAGCATTTTACTGAAAAGTACGTGTGCCAGTATTTGTCTTTCTATGGATACTTCAAAATTAATTTTTCCAAATGCAGAACCTATGATGCAAGGCTTTTCAGAATGAAGTATTTCTTTCATTCTGTACAATAATATGACTTAAATCATCATCCTTACCTCCATTTGAAAACTTACTTGCCATTTTGTTTTAAATAATATTCTGAGCGGGAAATTGAATGTGAGATGTAAATTTTATTTTGAGCTTCTTTTTCAAGAAGGTCCACTATGTACATGTGGCACAAACTTTGAAGCACATCAAACAACAGCCAGTAAAACGTAAAAAAGCTCTCTTCCTTCCTGCCTCCAACTATTCAGAAGTTTCTCTTCCTGGCAAACGATTTATACCATTTATAGCATCTCTACCCAGAGACATTATATATACTTATAAGCATTTAGAATATTATTTTTGTGCCTATTTTTCAGTGCCGTGCTTTTTTAGCTTAATGTATCTTCGCGAGTTTTCTCCATTAATTCACACAGAGCCACCCCTTTAAGCTACATCCTCTATTAATGGACATGTGGGTTGTTTACAATCTTTTGCTTTAATAAATGACGCCACAATGAATATCCTTCTACACATCCCTATACTATCTCTCTATCTATGGTACATGTACAACTGCTGGGTCTACGATAACAGTAATAGCCTTTGGTGGTTGATTAAATATTTAGGAAAAAATAAGTCAATTTCTTTACAAAATGACTACTTAGTAAGATGTCACATGCGAAATCCCACGCCTAAACATTACTTTTTCAAGTCAGCTACCCACATGAAAGCTTGTATGTGGCAGTTAAGCATTTCTTAAAAGTTACACACTAATGACTTTATCCCCGAGTTTTAATAATCCTAATCTAACTCTCTCATCAGTTATCATTTTAATATCTAATATGACCACATCTAACAAAACTAACTGTAATCCAAAGAGGAAGGGAGAAGAAGCAGCCCTTCACTGCTGACGGCACTCAAGCACATGACCGCATAAAGGCGCAGAGGCGGCGGCCGCGCTGTCAGAAACATTATTCTCTTCAGGAGGGTCTGTACAACTCCGTGATTCAGAGAACAGGGGTTCACCAACGGAGGGGAGAAAACGATTACAGGGCAGCATGCCATTAACAAACTAAAGGAAGTTACTGTGAGACTTCTGGTCTATTCTAACTGAAATGGCATTGACAAGCTTCTCAAAAACTGTTTCTTGCTGATCTTTCTACCAATAGCATTTACTTCTCAAATTCACCTTAAGCCTTAAGCTAACTGAGAAAAATGCACCGATTTTCAGAGCCTCACTGAATGTGTTAATAAAAATCTACTTACCAGGGTTGCAGTCTGTCAAAAGAGAACAGATTGACAGCAAAACCTTTGAAATAGTCAAAGCAGGACTCCAGTTGTCTTTAAGGATGTCCAGTACCATGTGTCAAAAAATACTGCAGAAAGTTGGTGAAATCACCAGTGTTTCTATTTCTCAGACTTTAATTTCCCCCAAATGGCTCACTGTCTTGTTAGAATAAGACAGTCAAACAACACAAGTAAGGTCTTAAACTACTGAATAAAGGAAACCATTATATCCTTGAAATATGTGGGAAAAAAGAGAATAAATCATAGAAACAAATGCTGGCAAATTTCAAAACACTCACAAACACAAATTGAGTGGTTAATTTTTAATTTGGAGCTGCAAAATAGAAAAGATTGTTCCCAAGCCCTTGGAACTGGTAAGGTACTGTGATCTCCGAAGTGGAGTCTGGAAAGAAAATGGTTAAAGCCCTCAAATGTGTGTTTCTGATGAGGATGCATAGTTAGAAACAAGAAAGCAACCACTGGTATGGTGGGGAAAGAGGAGGAAGAGACTACAGTAGTACCCATTTTGACCACACTTTTACCCTCCATGGTTCCAGTACTCCTCAGGTCAACCAGGATCCAAAGATATTAAATGCAGAAGTTCAGAAATAAACAATTTATAAGTTTTAAACTGTGCTGTTCTGAGTAGATGATGAAACCTTGTACCGTCCTGCCCTGCCTGGGTGTCCAGCATAATCCTGCCCAGTCACAGGCTACTAAGTAGCATCCTGCTCATCAGCTCAGCTGCCGCAGCACTGCAGTGCTTGCGTTCAAGTCACCCTTACTTTATTTCACAGCTGCCCCAAAGCCCAAGAGCAGTGATGCCGGCAATTCAGATCTGGACAGAGAAGCCATCAAGTTCTTGTGTTGAGTGACAAGATGAAAGTTTTCAATGTAATAAGGCCAGGAAAACAAATTCTACTCTGAGGTTGCTAAGATCTAGGGTATGAATGATACTTCTATCCATGAAATTGAAAAAAAAAAAAAAAAAGCCGGGGAGGAGCAGGGGGAACTTGTGCTGGTTTGACTGTTGGACCTCAAGTCGCAAAAGCTACAGCCACCAGTGCTTAGTTACAGTGGCAAAGGCATTCAATTTGTACAAGATATTTTGAGAGGGACCACAATCTCGCAACATTTATTATAGTATATTGCTATAGTTGCTCTAATTTTATTATTAGTTATTGTTAATTTCTTACTGTGCTTAATTTATAAATTAAACTTTAGCATAGGTATTTATACATAGGAAAAAACAGCATTATATAGAATCTGGTATTATCTGGGATTTCAGGCACCCACTGAGGGCTTTGGAATTCTGCTTCTGAGGATAAGAAACTACTTATATAATTCTAGAACTGTTCTAACACAGTACATGCTAGTTACACAGAACTCCTAAAATGTGGCTGGTAAGAAATAAGATGGGCTAAAAGTATAAAATACACACTAGATTTCAAAGGGAGAAGGCAATGGCAACCCACTCCAGTACACTTTGCCTGGAAAATCCCATGGATGGAGGAGTCTGGTGGGCTGCAGTCCATGAGGTCGCTAAGAGTCAGACACGACTGAGCGGCTTCACTTTCACTTTTCACTTTCATGCACTGGAGGACACCGCAACCCACTCCAGTGTTCTTGCCTGGAGAATCCCAGGAACGGGGGAGCCTGGTGGGCTGCTGTCTATGGTGTCGTGCAGAGTCAGACTTGACTGAAGCAACTTAGCAGCAGTAGCAGATCTCAAAGACTCAATACCAAACAGAGAATGTAAAATAGGGCATTCATGATAATTCTACTGATTCCATACTGAAATGACAGTATTTTTGGACATGCTGGATTAAGTAAAATATTATTAAAATTAATTTCACTGTTTATATAAAAAATTACACATGTAGCTTGTATTATATTTCTATTGGCTCTGCTCTAGAATATGGGAATAATGTATGTTCGCATCGTTGATAGCTGACTACTCAACAGAGAGCTTATAAAACATGATTAATATTTTGAATACTTTCAATGAACAGAAAATAATTAAATTTCTATTACTCTTCAAGAAGTTCAACACTTTATCTGAACTTCAAAAATAAGCAGAACTGTAGAGAGGCAATTATACCTAAACCAAGACAGCAGCAGAAGTTTTATTCTTTTTCTCCTGTCCAACTATAGATCTGAAGAATGCTTCAAAATACTATACAAGACATCTTAGGGAAGAGGAAGGAATCAACATTAAAGGGTTAGAAAATAAAAATATTGAGACTTTAGCAAAAAAAAGTAACATGCTAAGTTAATAAACACTATATTAATCAAAACAATGACAACAAATCATATATATGTAACTATGGTAGTCAATTTCTATTTTCATTAAAAGATGCTAAGAAAAATGTGTTTTCTTTAACAAATTTTCCCTCATGTATAAAAACAATTTCATAAAAACTAAATCTTTTTCTGCTAATTTTTCTACCATGTTAAAACCAATTTCCAATATGAAAAATGAGGCAAGTAGAAATAAGCATTACTATAGATACATATATATATATATATATATATATATACACACACATATAGATACTGTAGATAGAGTCATGAGCTATTTTGCTAAGGTTTTGCTTTCCTGTATCATACGGGAAACTTAAGAACTTAAGGCAAACTAAATAGTTAATGATATGCTGGAATTTAACATGTGTCATTCTGAGTATAAAAACAATCTTCAGTTTTATTAACATGAGGGTTTTGTCCTTTCTTTGACTGATCTATCAAGAGATACTCGACATACTGGAGAACGTTAAATAAAACAATCAGTTAAAAATCTTAGATGTTGATAGGACCACTTAGTAAAAGCACTCAGAAAGTGACAGCTATTGTTGTGAGCAAACACCTGTAGGTGATAAGGAACCCTGGTATCTGCAATTTGAGGTAAATACCACTAGGTGGAACTGTTGTTACCTTATTCAATGAGGGAATTTTAAAAAAAGTTATTTTTACACACACACAACACGCAGGCATGTGAGCACAGGCTCTAAACCGCTATACATATTTTAAATGATGGAGGGAATGAATGTAAGGAACTACACTGAAAAGAAAAACATTTCATGAAAGCTGGCTTAACATTTCTCTACAACATCTTGTGAGTCTAACTAGAGCATAGTTAGACTCAATACTGATGGTAAAAACTGCTGGCTTGACCATTTTATAGGGAGAAGTCAGAGGAAGAAGCCAGTCAAATAACTGCTGTGTTTAAGACTTTAAAAATAACTGTCAGTCATTACAAGACACAACTCAACCCTTTTCTCCATTACCCACAGAATTCATGCTTATTCTCACTCGGCCTCCCTCTTTCTCATTAACGCATCATCCTTACAGAGGGCACAGAATAAATATATTAAATAGTATCAGTTCCCTCTTCTTTGCTATAGGTTTCTAGTTTTTGCTCATCTATGAAGGTAGGGTATTCAGCAAAAAATTCAAGATACTTAACTCTTATTTCCGGAAGCTGTCAAATTTACCTTTTATCCCAATAGATTTCTTAAGTAAGGTTCATATGATATTTTCTCTAATACCATAATTTATTTGCTTATTGATATGCAAAGTGGCATACCTTTATTTACATTTAACACACTCTCCACTGATTGTATACAAAGTTATTTGTAAAACACAGAAGTCAATTACTACCACATTTTAAAAATCATTGGTTACAAGAGTTTCCACATAATCCATGAAAAACAGTAACTTCATCCACACATTAACTCTTATGATAACTGATTCTGGAAAAGAATAAGTATTAAAGAACGCAATTCTAGGTTCTTACCTTTGGTGGCTTAAATGGATAATCGGATGAAAATGTGATATCCAGAAAAAACACACCACCTTCATATACAGAACCTGGTGGACCAAGTATAGTCGATCTCCATTCATAAATGTTATCTCCTTTAGGCCCAGCACTATTTAAAAGAAATTAAAAATCAATGTGTGAATCTGTGATCTATGAATGTCAGCATCTTAAACCAATTAAGTATCAAAGGTAAATTAGCAACCTAGAACAGTACGAGATTAATAGAAATAAGCCTCAACCAACTTGTGCAGGGAGGTGTGAATAAACGTATTTGGAAATAGTTCTAACATACAGAAAAATCACAAGAACGAAGAAACTTTATCCAGAATCTCATTTTGCTCATTTGCAACTCCTTTTCTCTTTCTCCATCTCCCCCTTCTAAAATACACACACACACACACACACACACACACACACAGTGCTTTTTTTCTAAGCCATTTGAGAGAAGTTGATAATGTATCATAGTCCTTTCCTCAAAAATATTTCAATATCATTTCCTAAAACAACCTAATACAACTGCAATATAGCTATAACTTCAATAAAAGTAAAATTTGTACAATACCTACAATCTGCAAAATAATGTCAACTGACCCAATTATGCCTCTAAAACACCTCAATTTTCCCCCTGACACAGGATCCCAGTCTTGAGATCGGCCATCTGTGTCCAGCGTCTTTAGTCTCCTTTAACATAGGGCCTTGCAGCCTTCCTTTGCCTACTACAACACTTAGCATTTTTTAAGAATACAGTTCTTATTTTAATAGAATGCTCATCACCTTGAACTTGTCTGGTGTTTCCTTCGATTACATGCAGGTAGTACCTTCCTGGCTAGAAGAGAACACAAGTGATGCTGTGTTTTTCTCAGGGCGTCACATCCAGAGGCACACTGGGGATGTTAGTTTTCTTATCCGGATCAAGTACTGTGTGACTGCAACCAAGCAGCCGTCTTTGCAAACTTAGTGTGTGTGCTCAGTTGCTTCAGGCATGTCCAACTCTTTATGACCCCGCAGACCATAGCCTGCAAGGCTCTTCTGTTCATGGGAGTTTTCCCAGCAAGGATACTGGAGTGGATTGCCATGCTCTCCTCTAGGCTATCTTTCTGACCCAGGGATCGAACTCGTGTCTCCTGCATTGCAGGCGGATTCTTTACTGCCTGAACCAACAGGAGGGAAGCCTAAGACCGTGCAAATACCCAATTCTTCATCAGCACTTCTACCCTAGATTTAACATCGACTTGTGATTTCTGACTAAAGTGAACTTTACTATGATAGTGATAAAACCATAATTTTCCAGTGTCAGCATTTCCTTTGCATTTACCAGTTGGTGCTTGAACCCTCTCTTCTCCTATCTGTATGAACATGTATATTACTGGTGAGGTCTCAAGGATTCCTATCTTTTTTCCTAATGATTTAGAATTCTTACTGCATTTAATTATTTTGATGCTCAAATCATCCCAGATTTGGCCAATGAGAACATCTTCAAAATGACCCCTGTATCCTGTAGCCACCATCATTTTGGGGGAAGCATTTTCTTACTTTAGCATTACAGTATGTTCCAGGCTCCCATCCTTGGAATCTGCTACTTTTTCAAGAGCCCTGATTCCCTTTAGTGCGAATGTATCTCAAGGTCTGAGTGCTAGGTGGTGTTAAATCCCAAGTACATTACATTGTGCTCAACACCATCATTTCATTTATAAACTATAATGACAGATAATTCAAATAATATCTAAACTCACAGTACTTTTCAAATTTACCTTACAGACTTCTATTTTTCCTCTAACCTTATAGACTAACTTAACTTTCTGCACTGAAGTATATATAATGCTTTTCTTCTTTTAGCGACCGTCAGTTTAGAAATAATCTGCATGTTTGATTTAAAATAAGTGCAAACCAACATTGATAAAGCAATGACATTAGGACATTCAAATATACATTAAAAGATCTGACCAAATCTTAATTCTGTAAAACATACACTGTAGACTGTAAACATTAAGTAAGCAATGCTATCAATAATCACTCTGAAAACAGTTCATACAGAAAGGGTGTAAAAAACTTGATGATACAATCAGAATGTTTATAGTATGTTTCAAAAACCTATTTTAAAGGTAGATATACATGAACTATAAAATCTTACTATTATGGCCTATTTACAGAAAATATATTTTTGAAAAATATTATTTTCTAAGTTTGAAGTATACACAACAACTGAAACTAATTACAGTAATGGCTCATTGTTCAGTAATCATTTGAGAATCAGGTACATCCCCCAAGGGAATTTTTGCTTTAACTAAAAAGATTCAAAATGAAGTACCAGTTTTGTTTATAAAAAGAAGACAGTTTAACCTGGTTCAATGACATTTCCTTTTCTAAGTTAATTTTTCCCTTGATGACTCAAAGTAATCATTATAAAACCATAGTGTGAGACTTTTACAGGACAGCTGCTTTACTAAGCTGCTTCTAAACCATACAAGTTCTCCAAACACTGACGACAATAATGACAATGATAAAAGCAGCAGCTAAGGTTTACTTCATAAGAAGCCGAGCATGTTTCAAAGCACCACAGTACACATCTCACTGAATTCTCCGTATGAATCTATAAAACATACTATTATTATATCACTATTTTTTAGATGAGGAAACTAAATAACTTTCCCTATACCCCACAGCTACAAAATATTCTAACAGAATTTGGACGAAATCTGAATAAATCTCTATTGACTTCAATGGTTTTGCTATATGTGTATTTCTTCTTATAATTTCTGTGCTATGTGTAATTTAATCTTCAGTCAAATTTCACAAATATTTGGGGAGCAATGTAAGGAGAGCTATTCTCCAAAGAAACTGAATATCCTCAGTGATACTCTTTGGTTTTTGGCAGAATTATGTTATGCTTGAGATGGCTGGGGATTACTATACTTTAGTGATTCACAGAATTTCAGTATGAAAACGATTTCGGTGATGCTCAACCCCTCCTTTTACACTTGAAGAAACCGATTCACAGAAAGTAAGTCATCCATCTCAAATCCTCTCTTCCAGGCGGTAGAAGAGCTGGGACTCCCACAGCAAATTCTTGGTTCTTAAGTTTGCTTTCTTCTCAGTTATGCTATTTCTGCTACAAGACACTAAGGACCTGGTTATGACAGCAGGATATGAAATGTGATTTTCCCCACGTCTTGGTGGAGAAGGAAATGGCAACCCACTCCAGTGTTCTTGCCTGGAGAATCCCAGGGACAGAGGAGCCTGGTGGGCTGCCGCCCACAGGGTCGCGCAGAATCCGGACATGACTGAAGCAACTTAGCATTCATGCATGCATTGGATAAGGGAATGGCAACCCACTCCAGTGTTCTTGCATGGAGAATCCCAGGGATGGAGGGGCCGGTTGGCTGCCATCTATGGGGTGCGCAGAGTCGGACACGACTGAAGCGACTTAGCAGCAGCAGCCACTGTCTTGGAGTAGACCTAGTAGGCTGTAGCTCATGGCTGTGTTCTAAGAATACCTAGCCTGAGGTGCAGGACTTAAAAGAGATGTGGGTTCCATCCCTGGGTTGGGAAGATACCCTGGAGAAGGAAATGGCAAGCTACTCCAGTACTGCCCTGAGAACCCCATGGACAAAGGAGCCTGTTGGGCTATGGTCTATGAGGTCACAAAGGGTCGGATACGACTGAACCGACTTAGCACAGCACAAGGTAAGTTAGGGCTGAAATACAGCCCTTGTTGGCTGCCCTATCTGGAATAAGGGCCTCCTTTCCCTCCTCCTTTCTCACAAAGGTGCCCCCTGCTAACCAAGATGTGGGTTAGCGGGGAGGTAGATGGGGGTGGGGGGGAAGGTGGCGGGGGTGTGCTGGATATACGACTGACTTCAGTCTAATTCAACCACGACAGTTTACAGGCTAGTAGTTGACCTGCCTCCGAGGCATCCTAACTGAGTAGAAAGGGGTGCTAAATGCTGGTATTCTCAAGGCAGGTCCTAAGGACACCTTTCTACTAGATCTTAGTCTCTCTTTCACGAAAGAACAACACTCCAATAATTCTATACTCCATCCTAGATCATCAGTTTTTCCCTCTCTGTGAATCACGCCCACAAGAATACTAAGATGCCATCTCCTCAGTCTTTAAAAGCTAATCCTGATTCCTCTCTCACTTCCAGCTCTCTTTTCAACTACAGGCTCTTATCCCACCACCCCACTGAAACCCTCTCATCCCAGGTCACCAGTGACCTCATCACTAGATCTAATGCTCATTTCTCAATCTTCATCCTATCTGACAGAGTCAGTCACTTTTTCCTCCTTGGTATTCTTTTTCTGCTTCATTGTACTTACTGGTTTTCCTCCTAACTTTCTTGGCCCCTCCTTCTCAATCACTAAATGCCATTATCACTATGGCAATCACTATTGCCATTCCTTATCTCCCTAACTTCTAAATATTGCCAGTCCCTCAGAGCTCAGTCCTTAAACTTCTTCTCCTTTCTACCTACATATACTCTTTTGTTGATCTCCTGCTATTTTATGGCTTCCAAGAGCAACAGTAAGCTGGGAACCCACCAATTTGTATCCCCAGCATACATTTCTATACTGATTTTCAGGGCTATAAATCTAAATGCCTACTAAACAGTCTTTACTTTGAAATCTAATATTTTGAATCAAATAGTTTTGAAAAGTTTAACATGCCCCAAATTGAATCCCTGATCCTGACTCTTCTCACAAGTTTCCCTACTTTGGTCGAAGCTCAGGGCAAACGCCTACACCTCACCCTTGACAGCACTCATCTCTGTCCCAGATCTGTAAATTCCATTGGTTTTATCTTAAAAACATACCTCAAATTCTACTCCTTCTCCCTATCACCTAACCTTGCCTGCAAACAGCAGCATCCTCGGGCAGGTTAACTCCAGTAGCCTCCTTGTTTCCCTCTGGGACCCTAACCCCCACCACGGCAGTCCAGACAGGGATAGTAAATCAGATCACATAACTTCGGTCAAAACCCTCCATGATAATAAGGCGGCTCACCTTCTTATTCTGTGTTAAAGTTCTACGACCTAAAGGCACTGTATCACTTGCTGCTCTCCTTTTTATCTGCCCCTCTTTTCCTTGTTCAGCTGGCTATACAACTGTCTC